AATGGTTTTTCTCTACCTATTGAAATATGATTTTCCTCTTTCAACCTATTAATGAGGCGAAATACAAAATTATAAAATATTAAATCAGTATTCCTGCTCTAAAACCAACTTGGACGAAATGTATTTTTCTTTTTATATATTACTGCTTTTAGTTTGCTAATATTTTGTTTAGGATTTTTGTATTTATGTTCCTGTGAGATTAGACTGAATTTTTCCATTCTGAAATTGTTCTTGCAGGGTTTTGGAAGTCAAGGTTATGCTAGCCATGTCCACTCGATTCATTCGACCAACACTTACTGAGCTGCTTTTGTGTGACCAGCACTGTTCCAAGAGCTCGGTGACTTAAACAGAGAAAAATCTCTCCTTTTGTGATGCTCACATTCTAGAAAGAGTGATGAAGCCAACAGAAAATATAATATACAGGGCCGGCCCGGTGGCGCACTGGAGAGTGCGCTGCTTGGGAGCGTGGCGGCGCTCCCGCCGAGGGTTCGGATCCCATGTGAAGACCGGTTCCCGCTCACTGGCTAAGCGCGATGCGGGCGCAGCGCCGAGGGTTGCGATCCCGTTGCTGGTCCCCGGTACGGGCGCAACACCGAGGGTTGCGATCCCGTTACCGGTCGGTAAAAAAAGACAAAAAGGAAAAAAAAAAAAAAAAGAAAATATAATATACGGAATTTACAAACTGAGAAGTACTATGGGGAAAAAAAGAAGAGCAGACAAAATAAATTGGAAGTGCAAGGCAAAGGGGTTGGTTTGCAATTTTAAATAGGGTGGTCAGGGAAGGCTTCATTAGGAAAGTGACATTTGAGAAAAGACTTGAAGGCGAGGGAGTTAGTCATGCAAATACCTTGGAAGAGTTGTTTGCAGGCAAAAGAAACAGCCAGTACAAAAGCCCTAAGGCAGAAGTGTGCTGGTGTGTTCAAGCACCAGCTCAGAAGTGAGGCAGCTGGAGAGGACTGAATGAGGGCAAAGCATGGGAGGGCCAGCTGCAGGGGTCCCTGGGGCCAGATTGTTCATGAGCATGCACACAACTGTAAGGACTGAGGCTTTCTTTCTGGATGCAACAGGAGGCCACTGAAGAATTCCTAGCTGAGGTCTACGTATTGTTTGAAAAGGATCACTGTGGCTGTTGTGTTGAGAACAGACTTCAGGGGAATTGGCAGTTGCAAGAACAGTGGGGTAGCAAGGAAAGTGGTAAAACGGTCAGATGCTGACGTATTTTAAGGTAGATTCAACAGATTTCCTGACAGACGGGATATGGGTTTCAAAGAGAAGAGCCAGGAGCAACCCCACTGTTTGATATGAACACTTACAAATAAGCTGTGGTTGGAGCAGATTTGGAAAAGAAAGCAGCTCAGGCACAGACAAATGCAGTTTAGATATCTACCAAGGGTTCAAGTACAGATGGCAATTAGGCAATTGTATATTAAGTCTGAAGTTCAGAAAAATGTCTGGGTTGATGACATAAACTGGAATATATTTAATATCCAAATATATAGAGGCTTGCTTGGGTTCTCTTTACTGATTTCTAGCACAACTGCATTATGGTCTAAAACATGCTCTAGAACAGTGATTGGCAAACTGTTCCTGTGAAAGGTGAGACAGTAAATATCCTAGGTTTTGGAGGCCACATATGATCTCTGCTGCATACTCTTCTTTGCTTTTTATTATAGCCCTTCAAAAATGTAACAACCATTCTTACCTTCCAGGCCATATAAAAACAGGCACGGGCTCTAGTGTACCTCTAGAACTACACTATGCAATATAGCAGCCACCATGTAGCATACACGGAACATTTCCATCACAGTGGGAAGATCTACTGGACAGCACTGCTCGAGTACATGATGTCAATCCTCTGAAATGCTTTGAGTCTTGCTTTATGGCCCAGCATACAGTCTGTGATACAATTTTTATGTAAAAATTATGAACCTTAAGGAAAAAGTAAGAAAAGAAATGGCTGCAAAACAAAAGACTAGTGCCAAGGGACACATAGAATCAAGGGAACATTCTCTTTGTCCTATCCACGTGAAATTAAGGCTCTGTACTTCGCTTTAAGGGGCATGAGAGAAGGCAGCTACAGAAATGTGGATGCTTCAACTCTCCTGTCCTGAGTTAAACCCCAATTTTGAGTTACTATATTATTATTAATACTTAGTATTTATTTTCAATATATATCATTTATACTCATTGACTAATCCTCATAGGACTGTGTGAAGTAGGCACTAGTTATCATCTCCTTTTATACATAAGGAAATAAAGCACACAGAAGATAAGGAAACTTGCCCATGGTCACATCACTAGTGAGTGGCAGAGACAGAATTCAAGTCCAGGGAATTCAGTTCCAAAATCTGTACTCTTAACAACTCTGAGGAAAAGATTTTTTTCTTTTGGGCAGCTTGACAGTCAGGGATCGAACCCTGGACCTTGGCATTGTCAGCACCACACTCTAACCACCCTCGCCAACCAGCCAGCCCTGTGAGGAAAGGATTCTTGACTGACTCTGTAAGAACCATCCACTCAGTCGTTCTTTTGCTGCATCATTAGATCTACCTGGTCATTCCAATTGTACCTCCTGCTGCTCTTTCAAAGAGGGCCTCTTTTCTAGCTCTACCAAGTTTCTCACTATCTCCATGCAGTGCACATCCGCTTTTTGTCAGTCCTACACTAATTCTCTTATAGCCCCTTACCCCATCTTCTGCTTATAAACCTCTCTCCTGTTTGGAAATTGTTCCGTGTTGTTCAGAAGGGTTTGACCCTATGATCCCACCTGCAGAGGAGCCCATGACCCAGACCTGGGCAATCTGATTACTCCATTACACCAGGCTACAAGGATTGGGCTCAAGAATGGCCAAATGGCGCAATATTTGAGTAATCTTCCCTGTCATTTGATAGGTAAACTCTGGTAGCTCTAACCGGGAAATGGTGAACCTTAAGGACAATGTATACTTGGGGCTGCCAGCATCTTCCCACCCTGTTGAGAGCCTACACAGAGGAAAGCAGAAGAAACAAGAGACAGAAAGAGAGAGAGAGGAAAATAAGGACTTCTGACAATATCATTTGAACATCTAGATCCAGCCATATTATTTGCTTGCAGACATTTGGTTATATGAAATCAATACAGTCCTTTATTTGCTGGTGTAAACTGAGTTGAACTGGGTCTCTAATGCATGCCACCCAGAGTAACAAGCATGTTTCTCATTCTTGTTTCTGAGCATATGTTCTGGTTGCTGCCTCTGACCTTCCATCCCATGTCACTCGCTTTTCAAGGATAATCTCAGTGAGGCCTCTTTTTTTTTTTCCTTTTTGTCTTTTTTTCGTGACCGGTAACGGAATCGCAACCCTAGGTGTCACACCCATACCACGACCAGCAACAGGATCGCAACCCTCGGTGTCGCGCCCGCACCGCGCTCAGCCAGTGAGCGGACAGGTCTCTATATGGGATCCGAACCCTCGGCGGGAGCGCCGCCACACTCCCAAGCACCGCACTCTACCGAGTGCGCCACTGGGCCAGCCCAGTGAGGCCTCTTTTTAAGGCATTCCCAAATTACTCAGGCCCACTATCACTTCCTTTTATTCTTATACTCTACTAGTTAGTCTCTGTAACCACAAATCTTAGCATATTTTATATAGTTCTTTGTGTTAATTAATCTGAACCCACAATCTAGATGAATCATTTCTCCTACTTAAACATGCTCCACATCATTCCACCTTTGTGTCCTTATTATACTATTTCCTCTTCCTTCTCCACATGAGCACAGCACCAGCCGTTGAAATTCAGTCCATATTCCAGCTTCTCCAAAAAGCTCCTGATCCCTGGACTCCCAGCTCGATGTATTCTCCATTTTCAGAACCCTACATACAGTATTTCATCTGATATCTTTTATAACAAACACTTTCTATCTCCTGCCAAACTAAATTATTACCTCTTTAAAGGCAAGGTTTGCTTCTTATTCATTTATGTGTTACTTCATCTTCCACTACTATATACATGATTGGACACTACACTACACATTGTACATATCATACAGACATGTCAAATGAACATATCTGAAAGAGAATAAATACTTACAAAGCCACAAGTACAGACCTAGAATTGGGTTAGGCTCTACTGGCAGTAAAAGCACTATCATAAAATATGGTCCTTTCCCAGAAATGTAACTGTATTAAGTTCCCAAATAGACTGTGTGAGTCCATTTCTGTTGCTTACAAAAGAATATCTGAAACTGGGTAATTTGTAAAGAAATGAAATTTATTTCTTACAGTTTCAGAGGCTGGGAAGTCCAAAGTCCAGGGGACACATCTGGTGAGGGCCTTGTTGATGGTAACTTCACAGCAACAAAGGGTGTCACATGGTGTCACATGGCGAATGGTTTGAGCAAGAGAGTACTAAACTCCTCAATTGCTCTCCTTTTAAAGCCATCAAAACCATGCCCATTACTCCACAAATGGATCAATCCATTCACAAGGACACAGTCCTCACAATCTAATTACATCTTAAAAGCCCCACCTTAATTGCCATAATTGGATTTCCCACCCTCTTAAAGCTCTTACAATGGGGATCAAGCTTCAATGAGTTTTGGGGGGATGTTCAATCCCCAGCAGACTGTAAATTCAAGAAGACTAGATCTACCTCATACATTTCTTTCACGGTCATAACAGTACCTAACTCCTGTGTTTAGGCACATAGTAAAAAGACACTAACTTGGCCACAACATTTATTGCACAAAAATAATAGATGCTTTAGTGTTGGGATCATGGTAATGCATTCTAACATAATGAATTGTGCAGTTGTTTTTAAAATAAATTATATTTTAGGTCAAAGTAATTCTTGGTTATTTAGTATCTTTACTTTTTAAAATTAAACAGTGACTTTCATACATTAAAAATTAAAAATATATATAAAATTTAATTAGTCTAAATCTCTTTTAAGAGGCATGCATCATTTCCAAAATGCATTTAATATTAGCTTAAAAAAACACTTGACAAACAGGAAAACTAACCTCAGGTCCTGAATGTATAGTCAGGAAACTTTCCATGGCCGTCAAAGTACCTAAAAGAGTAAAAAAAAAAAATGGTAAAAGTAAAATCAAATCAAATCTAAATTATTTAGCCAAGACAAGTTATAACAAACCATTCTTATTCACTTAGGGGCCACATTTGCTAAGCCTACAGCATATAGAGTCAGAAAATCTGTACAGATAACAGTTTTATTATGTTATTGTAAACAGACTTAAGAAGCAGCCGAGGACAGGTAAACAGTCAGAAACAGTAGTTTAGTATAAACTCTAAATGCTCGTACTGAGAAAATCTTTTCTAGTATTTAAACTGACAACACTAAAAATCTCCCCCAATAAGGCAATAATTTAGCTCACTCATTCTGGAATGCTCCTCAGGACACTGTTCTCAAAATCAGATTTATGTGAATTATTCTGTTTTCAAATATGACAGCTTTTAAGCGGCTTATTAGTAGTGGCTTACAATGAATAAATACAAAAACTATGAAAACATCCTTTGTGATGGCTTACAAAATACTTAAAACAAAGCTATTAAAATGAAATAAAAATAGGGTAAGTATAAAATAAAAGTTGAAAATCAAAGCCAGAAAAAAGGGAGAAATCAATTGTATTAACCACGAAGACTAATATATAGGTATAGCGGTTAATTTAAGTATTTAATTAATCTTTTTGAGTTTCTCAAGAACACTAAAGCAAAAGAAAAACATAACAGACTTGCTAATTCTCAAAATGATAAAATGAAATACACTGAATCCTTAAGAGACATTGTTATTGGTTTTAGTTCCAAGACAAAATTAAAACATGCGGCCTTATAAAGGTGACACTGAGCAAGATAACAAATAACCATGTCATCAACAAAGATGTTACAGCACAAAAAACTATAGCCACATACATATCACTTGTCTGACCACTGACAAAACACAAGAATAGATCATGACAGCCTAACTCACTGGAGATGATTCTGATGGTTGCTGGGAGAATGTGGCTTAGGTATGTGGTTCTGTGATCTAACACTATCCACAGAAAGAACACGGACCACCTATAGCAGGTTTTACAACTAGGGTACTTGTTAAAATTCTGAGTTTTAGGCTTCAGTATCTAAAAAAAATTTTTTTTTTTTTTTTTTTGTCTTTTGTCTTTTTCCGTGTCCGGCAACGGATCGCAACCCTCAGTGTTGCCCCCGTACCGGACCGGGGACCGGCAACGGGATCACAACCCTCGGCGTTGCTCCCGCGCCTCGCTCAGCCAGTGAGCGGGAACCGGTCCGTATGTGGGATCTGAACCCTCGGGCGGGAGCGCCGCTGCGCTTCCCAAGCGGCGCACTATCCAGTGCGCCACTGGGCCGGCCCCCTAAAAAAAAATTTTTTTTAAACAAATCTTCAAGTAATATTTTTCTTTTAAGAAGAAAAAAAAGACCAACTCAAAATAACAAAAACTATTAAATATTTAGGAATATTCTCAATAAGAAATATATAGGATTATCATGAAGAAAACTTCTAAACTCCACAGATTTTAAATAATTTTTTTTAATAAATAAAGATATACTGGGTCCATGGATTGGAAGACTAAATATTTTAAAGATTTCAATTCACATTCCTCTTTTTAATGGGAATGGTTCTAGTGTTTCACCAGTAAGTATGATGTTGGGTATTGTTTTCTGACATTTATTATGTAAGAAAGTATTCTATTCCTGAGTTCCTAAAAATCTGAAATCAGTAAATGGCGTGAATTTTCAATTGTCAAATCATTTATTAGGATGGGCATATAACTTTTCACTTCTGATCTTCTGATGTGATGATTATGTAACTTCCTAATGTTAAACTTTGGTCTTGATAAATCATTCTTTTAAAGTGCCATTGGATATTTATTAAAATTTTATACAGCATTTTCTTTTCTTTTCTTTTTTTTTTTTTTGTCTTTTTGTCTTTTTTCCGTGTCCGGCAACGGATCGCAACCCTCAGTGTTGCCCCCGTACCGGACTGGGGACCGGCGACGGGATCACAAGCCTCGGCGTTGCTCCCGCGCCTCGCTCAGCCAGTGAGCGGGAGCCGGTCTGTATGTGGGATCCGAACCCTCGGACGGGAGCGCTGCCGCGCTTCCCAAGCGGCGCACTATCCAGTGCGCCACCGGGCCGGCCAGCATTTTCTTTTCTAATTTCATAAACAAGATTGATTTACAGCTTGTGTGTGTGCGTGTGCACATGCACAGGCTTCAATTTCAGAGTTATGTTAACTTTTTAATATAAACTAGAACACTTTCCATCTTTTTTAAGCTCTAGAACAGTTTGTATGGCACTGGAATTATCTGTTTCAGGTCATTTTCTAAAAGGACACTTTTTAAGTATTCATGATACTAGTAACTTCAATTGTTTTACTATAATATTGATGATTTTGTCCATTCTTAAATAATTGCCTCCATTTTATAAATGGGGTAAAAGAAAAAAAGATGCCAAATTCTGTGTTCAATACTTTCTAGCTTTCATGGTTAAAAATTAAAAACCTTTTAATTATAATATATGGTAAATTATACTTTAGAATGTGTTAATTCCTAAATAAAGCAAATTTGAGTTTATAATGGCTGCCAAAATTTTTTCCAGAAATTTTACAGCTCTAACCATAACTCAGTTGAGACAACAAATAATTTCTCATTTTAAAACACGTGTCTCAACAATAGTGTCAATACCATTTTATTAAAAGTATAGCTATATTAAAAACAACACGTATGTTTCAACATTACCCATTAAATTAGCTATGTTTCTTTTCCCAACTAGGTTTTAGCTCATCATAATCACAAACATGAAGACCTTCCTTGTTAAATTCAATTATTGCTTATTGATCAATAATTACCATTCATTTTATTTCTGGTATATATTACTCCCAGATCTGCTGGAATGGAGTCAAAGCCACTGCTTCCAATGATATAAACCCCTTTTTCTGCAGCTTTCTCATGATACTTCAATTGTATTAGTTCCAGAAACTAAAAAAAATCCAAGAATCTGAATCAGAGTTATATAGAAACAATTAGATCAATATTAAATGATGTATCTTTAAAGACAAAGCGATTAAACTTTCAAAATGCTAACCAATATGGCTTTGCAGCAAAATATTAACTGTCAAAATGTTTTTTCAATTATTTAGCAAGTACTGTCTGCATGCCTACCATGTTCCAGGTGGTATGAGGGACATGCTGATCTGACTTCATGACACTACTGATTCTTTAAAAAGACTTTTAAATGTAAAAGTAACACCAATTTAAAAAAATTAAAGTACAAAGAAAGCAAAAAAAAAAAAATTACTCTCACATCTGCCAGATAAACATGATTACAGACATATATCTATGCATATGTACAGATTAGATAGAAGGGTAGGAAAGGAAGAGATGAGAGAGGAGAGAAGGGTATAATGTCTGTTCAAATCTTTTGCCTGGGGGGGCCAGTTAGCTCAGTTGGTTACAGCATGGTGTTACAACACCAAGATCAAGGGTTCGGTTCCCCATGCTGGCCAGCTCCCCCTCCAAAATTTGTTTGCCTGTTTTTAAAAATGTTTCTTTAGAACAGTTTTAGATTTAGAGAAAAATTTAACAGTAGACAGTTCCCATGTACCCTGAAACCCAATTTCCCATATTATTAACATCTTTTACATTAACATTGATTACAATTAATAAACCAATATTGATATATTATTATTAACTAAAGTCTATACTTTATTCACATTTCCTAATGTCCTTTTTCTATTCCAGGATCACATGTAGAATACCACATAACAGTTAGTTGTCATGTCTTCTTAGGTTCCTCTTGGCTGTGACAGTTTTTCACACTTGCCTTATTTCTGATGACCCTGACAGTTTTGAGGAGGGCTGGTCAGGTTTTCTGTAGACTGCCCTCTATTGGCATTTCTCTGTTTTTCACATGATTAAATTGGGATCATGGGTTTGGGGAGGAAGACCACAGGGGTAAAGTGCCATTCTCATCCCATCATATCAAGGCGACACACTATCAACATGATTTACCAGTGTTGATGTTGACCTTGGACCACCTGGCTGAGGTAGTGTCTGCCAGGTTTCTCCCCTGGAAAGTTATACTCCCCCTTCCTGAAGGTGGACTAGCTACATTAATTATTTAAAATTGTTCAGCATAGGAGAGTTGTCTCTTCTCATCCCTCTGCCCGTTTTTTAATTGGGTTCTTTGTATTTCTATTCATGACTTATAAAGTTTCTTTATATATTCTGGACCTTTATTAGGTTTTAATATTACTTTTATTAAAAATATTATGGGAGCTTATAAGATGACTTTAGAAGCTTTTCACCATTTTTTATGCTCTGGGTTATTTTAGGTAACTTAGGAACTGTTTTTTTGTTTAATTCATGTTTCCTGCTTCTTCTTGAATCAAGTTTGGTCATTTATACTTTCCTAGTATTTTCCAACATATATTTCTTTTTTTTTTTTTTTTTTCCTTTTTGTCTTTTTCCGTGTCCAGCAACGGATCGCAACCCTCAGTGTTGCCCCCGTACCGGACCGGGACCGGCCACGGGATCGCAACCCTCGGCGTTGCTCCCGCGCCTCGCTCAGCCAGTGAGCGGGAACCGGTCTGTATGTGGGATCCGAACCCTCGGCGGGAGCGCAGCCGCGCTTCCCAAGCGGCGCACTATAGCAGTGCGCCACCGGGCCGGCCCACCAACATATATTTCTAATTGAAAACTCTAAGTACATATTATATTGGCACACTGATGGTAAACATTCAACAAATGTGACATTTAAAATGTTTAGGTTGGGGGGGATTTTATATTTATTTTTCTGTAATGTTATAAAGGTGCCTGATTTCAAAATGGGAATTCATAAATTTAAAAAAAAAAAAAGTAGTAGTTGTAAAATGGGAACTCATAATGAAAAGTGAGATTCTGAGAATTAGAGTACAATATTTTAATTAATTCAGTTTACAGCATGAAGTAGCTATAAAAATCAGCACATCCTATACACAAAGGACCTGAAGTAAATGAGGTTGTGAGGATGAAAAAATTCAAGAAAACTGAAGCTAGACCTTACCATCAGTGCTCTTCTTAGAGCTCTCAACAGAATACCATAGAAATACCATCTCTAAATACTAGAAAGGAGTTATCAACTTCAAAATGTCAGCAAAATTATGCCACATATTTTCCACTTCATTAAACAGAAAACCACGTGTTGTTAAAGCTACGTTTTTTCCTTCTCATTTTATATACCTGAGGTTCTCCAGAGATGTCGATACAGCTAGTTCCATTTTCAATACAAGCTTTTACTATCGGTTCTCCATAAAATCGATACTGTAAGAATACAGAAAACCAAAAGATTATTCTTTCTTGACAAGCTTAAATGAATGAAATTCCATTTAAGCTTGGAAGTAGACTTGGTTATCAGGGAATCTAATGTTAATAAAGCAGCCTAGAGATAAATTGAGAAAATAAGATAACTGCACCATACCACTTCTCACAGTGTAAACAAAGGCATGATGGAATAATGGAGGAATATATGCTTACCCCTAGCCGAAGACAAAATGGAAAGTTTTGCAATGTGATTCACTTGAGTTGAATCTTGAAGAAGAATAAGGATTTGTTAGGAAAAAGAAAAATCCAGATAAAGAAAAAAGTATATATAAAGATGTAAGAAAGGAGAGCTGTTCCTGCTCCTTGAAGCAACAAGGTGGTTGAGCAGGAAGTGGCAGGAGATGAATCTGAAATGCTAGGGCTGGATCAGGAAGGACCACGAGGGCCATGCTAACAAGTCTAAAGTATCTTTTCTAGATTACTAGGTTCTCCTGGAGGGTTTTATTTTATTTTATTTTATTTTTTATGCATTGTGGTCAGATTTATTTCCACAAATTAAACTTTTTTTCAAAAAATGGAAACTTCATAAGCAAGTGTTTCACAGTGGTTTTTCTGGGTATTTCTAACCATATTGGGTTTTTTTTTTTTTTTTTTTAAAGATGACCGGTAAGGGGATCTTAACCCTTGACTTGGTGTTGTCAGCACCACGCTCAGCCAGTGAGCGGACTGGCCATCCCTATATGGGATCCGAACCCGTGGCCTTGGTATTACCAGCACCACACTCTCCCGAGTGAGCCACGGGCCGGCCCCTAACCATATTGTTAAAAGCAAGATTAACAGCAGTTTTCACATTCAAATTTTTAAAAAGATAAATTTCTGCATGATTTCTGAAAGATGCATTGTGGTCTGCTTAATTCTAGTAAGCTGAACTGTAAACCCTGTAAGCAAGTGTTTCACAGTGGTTATTAAGAAAATTTCTTTGTTGTTGTTTTTTTATTGTAACATAGGTGATTGCACATATCTGTGGGGTATAGAGTTGAATATGATTACCTGGGTGCAACAGATGATGCTCAAATCAGGATATCCTGGAGGATTTTAAGCAAGGCAGTGGTGTGAGATTTATAGCACAACCATATCACTCTGCCTGCAGCATTGGAAAACAAAACTGGAAGTAGGTACGAAAGGATGGAGGTCTAAACAATTGTCAGGATATACTAAGGATGAGATATACTACAAAAGCAGAAATGAATGTACTTCCCGATTAGGTGGGCTGGAACTGGGCCAACAGTTAGTGGCACTATTAGCCAAAATTAAAACAAAACAGGAAAGAGGTTTGAGGAAGATAAATTTAATACTGGACAGAGTAGATATTCTGAGCCTGTATGATATTAGATCTCTCAAATCATTTGTTGCTCAAACTCAAGGAATTAAAATTAAAAAATTAATATGTAACAGCTAATATGTCAGGATTCAGTCCCATTTCAGAAGAAGCATGATAAACCTTTCCTCTGTGAAGGTACAGTATCGTCTAAAAGTATCTCAAATCGGTCTCCTCCCTCTAATATATCCATTCTTAAAATCCTTCACTAGCTCTCCGGTGCCTGTATAATAAAGTCCAAACTTCTCAGCATGTCACAAAAAGTCCTCAAGCATCATGTCACATCACAGCCCTTTAATGCTCCTGTTCCAGCAGTTCTACACTCCCTTCGTCACACCCAGTGTCCTTGTTTCTACGACCCAGAGCCTCCTCCCTCTGTCCCGTGCCTGCCCGGCTAACTCCCAGCTCCTCCAGGCTCAGCCTTAAAGCTTCAGGCTCACTTTCTCATGTCTCAACCAGTGAGCCACAGCCCTTCAGCCAGCAAGTTTATCTACAAGTACTGGCAAGCACAGTAAAGCATTAATGAGCTTTTAAAAATACTAGTTGTTCCTTCTGGAAAGAGTACACATTGTCCCATTCACCACAGTTGGCCCACTCCTTACACTGTACTTTGTCACACCTAGCCCACCTTTCCTTTGGGCAGTCTGAAGTTGCGACTTCTCAATTATCCCTATTTTATGATGTCATTAGATCTTTCTCTATTTAGTACCCATATTTGTATGAGATCAGTACACAGAGTCAGAGTGGCAATCCTTGATTTCAGAGGAGAATTTCTCCCCTGTGAAGAGAGTTAGCGTAGAGGTCACAACTGCAACCTGTTCTCAAAGCAGCATGTTCTAACCCAGTGATCTCCTAGGTAGGTGTGCATCCCCCAAAGGGCACAAAATCATCCACTGAGTGTGGAAGTAAATATTAAAACTTCATTCATGCTAATTTTTACAGGCAACACAAAGAAAAAAATGAATTTATCAATAGTTAATATATAGATGGACTGACCACAGCACATTCCCTGGGCCATGTCAAGAGGTCATGTGTTGAATACGGGATACAACATGTATCCTGAAGGGGGCACAGTGACACCCTCATTCATTCCACCATCTTCAGTATTTTGTAACCTAGTGCTTGTTTGCACATGCCCAACACAGAAGAGTATCCAAGGCTCAGCTCTGAGGCCTCAGGCATTTAGAGGGAGAGGATAAGAAGATCCAACAGAGATAACTGAGATGAAACTGGTGGACAGAAACCAGAAGGTGAGAATCCAGAAGCCAAGTGAAGAAAGGAGAAAGTGATCAACTGGATCAAATGCTGAGAGCTCTGACTAAGATGAGGACTGAGAATGACGACTGGATTGGACAGGATGGGACCTTGGCAGAGTAGTTTCATTGGAGTAGGAAGGATCAAAGCCTGACAAGGGTAGTTTAAGATAGAGTAGGAAGTGAGGCAGTAGAGACAGTGAGTAATGAGGACTCTTTCAAGGAGTTCTGCTAAAAAAGGGGCCCAAAAAACTGGAGTAGTTGAAGGGGTATGTGGAATCGAGGGGAGCTTTTCTAAGATGGAAGATATAATCACATATTTAAATGCTGATAAAAATATTCCGGTAAAGAGAGAAAATTTGATTATAACAAGAAAATGTGTAAGGGTAAACATAAAGTCTGCTAATACTTCACCCAACAGGAGTAGGAGCAGTTTTTCCTTGTAACTATTCGTAAGGCAGAGTACAGGGTACACACAGGTAGGTAGATAGGTATGCAGACAGCAGGCAGGCAGGCAGACAAGTGGATCTGATGATATGAACGTGCAATTCTGTTCCGATAGCTTCTATTTTCATAGTTAAAAAGAAAAATAAGATAAGAGTGAGGAGAGAGAGAGAAAGGATGCTAAAGTGCGAGGAAAAGCTGTAAAACGGCTGCTTCAGAGAGTAGGAGAGAGAACAGCCGAGGAAATGCACAGAACTGCTGGAGGTGCTGAGTACCACGTGAGGTTTGCAGCCACACACTGGAAGCGGGACCCGTCAGTGGAGGGATGTGTTTTTCTCCAGCCACACTGGGTTAGTCATGTTCACGTGAGGATTAAGCAAAGAGTTAGGATAACCAGGGCTGGGGAGAGAAGGACAAAGGAGTTGGCTGAGAGTATATATTCAGTGACAACAGCAACGGACATAATGGGTGGAATCTAAGCTACTTAAGAATGAGACGAATCTAAATAAACAACATTGTATATACTTTCTGATTTAATAACAAGTAAACATTTTTGCTCTCAGTAAAAACTAACAATATTTTAGATGCTTAGTTTTCAGATGTCTTGCCAATTGTGATGGCTTCTTGAGATAAGCCTCTGCCACTACAACCCTGGTGCCTGTCTTGCTTGGATCATTCCACTGTCAGTCCCTTATCTATTTTTTCTCTCAGAAGCCAAAGAACTTCAAAACGAAATCAGATCATGCCCTTGCTGTCAATCACTCAATGACTCTTGGTCACACACAGAAGAAAATCCAGATCCTGACCATGGCCTGTAAGACCCTACACAACCTAGGTCCTGGGTACCTCTCTAACCCACCCTCCAACTCTCTGCCCTGCTCACAGGCCCAGCCACGCTGGCCTCACTCACATTCCTCAGTCTTTCCAAGCACACTCTCATCTCAGGACCTTTGAACTAGCTTCCTCTGAAGCACCATCTCCTCAAACATTCATATCCTTGACTCTTCCACTTTGTTCCAATATCTGCTCAAAAGCCGATTCCTCACAAAGACCTTCCCTGCCCATCCATCTAAAAGAGACAGATGTGCCAATCTCTTTATCTCCTTACTCTACTTCATTTTTCTTCAAAGCACTTATCACTACCCACTATTATAATCTTATGTTTCTTTCTCCCCCACAAGAATGTAAGCTCCACGACAGATTTTCTGTTTTGTTCACCACTGTGTCCCAGGTGCCAAGAATGGTACATTTTACACATAGTAGGCATTCAATAAATATTTATGAATAAATGAATGCATCCTTTTTAAATCTATTTTTGGTGCATCTTTAACATATATATTTGGGGCCGGCCCGTGGCTCACTCGGGAGAGTGTGGTGCTGATAACACCAAGGCCCCGGGTTCGGATCCCATATAGGGATGGCCGGTTGGCTCGCTGCCTGAGCGTGGTGCTGAGAACACCAAGCCAAGGGTTAAGATCCCCTTACCGGTCATCTTTAAAAAAATAAAATAATAA